GGGGCAGTTTCCTATAGGAAGGGCTTAGAGATGAGAATTGGATAGTAACTCTTAGGAAAAGAATGGAATTACAAGGTATTAACAAACACAGTCAGCTTTCTAGAGTACAATCCTAGGTATCAGATCTGGAAGGTTCTAAGAGTCATATAATCCCCTCTTTTCACAAAGCCTCAAAGATGAAGTGATTGAACAAAGGTCACAACACTACAAGTATGAGGACCCAGAAGGTCATGACCAAGCTCTGGCCCCAAGTCTGGTGCAGCAGGTTGGGGTTATATTAGTTAATGAGTTGGTAGGGAGCCATGGCCACTGCCCCTCCATAAGTACATGTGTTAAGAACTATTATTGACTAGGGGTACACCCCTGGAAACTTGGGGAGCAAAGAAATGCAGTGAATAGGGAGCTTGTACCAGGTCATCAAGCTCACCTTATAGAAACCAGATAGCTCTGCTGCTGTTTCAGTTAAATCTGTGAAGTTTTCAGAACTGTCAAAGTATACAGAACTTTTTACTAAAACTTTTAAATTAAAAAAAAAAAATGGGTCCTGTTGATTTCTGCCCACACTTACTGAAAAACCTGGTGAGGAACTATCCGGGGCCGGGAAACCAGGATGACAGAAGCCTTGTCTTTCAACAAGGCCAGTGTGGGTGCTAAGCCCTGCCTGCCATGACTGCTAAGCTGTAGTGCCCGCAGCTGAAGAAGGCAGGCTGACTGAGAGAAAACGCCCTCTTCTTGTGACATGTCAAGGGATGACGCCCTTCTCTTGGTAGGTTCTTGAAGGGTAAGAGTTAAGGGGGAGCAGAGGAACTGGGATCGCCTTGCCAGGCCCAAGGCCTTCTAGAATACCAGTCACCAAGGCTTCAGATACATCGGGCAAGTCCCAGGGTCCTGGAGAAAGAAAGGAGGGGGGAAAAACATGAAATAAAGGAGATGCAGTCTTAGAACTGAATATTAGAATTATTCTCCCTCACATGCCAAGACTACTTGTTTTCACTCCACAGGAATATGGAGTCATTTTCTAGAGCCTTTCAAACCCTCTGAGAGGACAGCACCCTGGGAGTTGGAAGACCAGGTCCTGTTCTGCCTCCACAGTTGACTGGACTGGGTGACTTGGGCTGAGCCCATACACCTACGTTGGCCTGAACTTCGTTCATTGGGAACACCACCTGTCCTGCCTGCTTTGTGGGGGTGTTGGATGATCTGATGAGATAATGGACAGAACCTCTCTGCAAAAGCCATAAAGCACTCCTCAAAGGGCAGGTAATCATATTACTATTCTAATTACTAGGAGCCCTTCAGAGGGTTGGCCTGTGGGTGAAGAGTCCCAGAGATTTGGAAGATCACCTTGTTTCCTTAGTCATCACTCTGCATACCTTCCTTCCAAGCAGGATGGCCCTCACAATCAGAGGGTGGGGAATGGATTAAATGTCTGAGAAGGCAAAGCTAGACATCTCAGATGTTCTGGGCTCACTGGCCCCCATAGATGCCAAGTTCTTTTTCACACTGAATCTAAATTTTTCCTTGTACTACTTTATGCTTATTTCCTCCTCTTCTGCCTGAAGATTTTTCTCTCTACCTGCTGAAATATGGTATCATTTTTAGTGTTTATCCATGGAAGACACTCAGTATTGAAGAACATGACCCACAGTTGCTAAATTGCAATTCCTGGGGTCTGGAGTCCAAGTGTAATTAAATCCAAGCATCAGTTTTTGGAAGGAGCCAAGGATAGAGTCAGTCCTTGAATCCCTTTGTAAAGTTTCAGTCTCCTCCCTAACCTTTTCCCAGACTCAGGTTATTTTACTTCCCACAGGAATTTCTTTTGGGGGTGCTATTTTGGGGAGAATTACCTGCATCTGAATAGAAAATGTTTAGAGAGGTCAGCCTCAGTGCAGGGACACTTGTTAAGTGTGCTTTTAATAATGGAGGGAGAATAAGGAGTTCCAATTACGGTAAGATTCGGAAAACATCAGGGAAATTTGGTTTATGATGGGAAAGGTCGTGCCTTGGTTCTACTCCACCCTAGGCCTTCACCTTGCCTTGTTCATTTCCCCTCTCGGTACTCTAAGCCCTTTCAATTATGGACACACTCTCTTGGCTCTGAACTTGGATAAATGCTACCTTGTTAGCTAATAGGACCATTAATTATATTAATGATTAATAGCTAATTAGTCATAACTCTGTAATACTTAAATGGAGGCTTTCAGCAGCTCTGGCTCAAGCGCGCGCGCATGCGCACGCCCCCCCCCCCCGCCACAGAACAAGTGCGGCTCTAAATTTGTTTTTCTGACCACTTTGGCAATCTCTAAATTTCTCCAGCTTTTATTAGCTGTCCCATTCATCTGGCGAGTGACCACACTGCTTATATTTTGCCTCTTTTATTTCTGTCCTCTGTCACTCACACTGCCTTCCAGTAACGAGATCAGGAGTCAAGATTTTTTTTCCCGTATTTCATAAACCAAAAAATCTCTTTTACTTTCTAAATCTCACTTGGGCCTACTTTTCTACTTTGGCCCTTCTTCTTCACCTCACCCTTCCCGAATCCTAAACTGCCCCCTACTTTGTGTAATTCTGGAATCCTACCCTACAGCCAGCCCAAAGCTCCCTCCCACTCTACGGTTTGGCTTCCTTTCAGCAACCACGCCCCCAGGCCCCAGGAGAGCGGTGCGCACGCGCACTCCATGCCTTTACCTGGGCGCTCGGGTGTGGGCTGAGTAGGGGAGGCGG